TGGAGTCTTGATATATAATTTAGCGTAGCCAATACATAATACACATCGACTAATGTATGTAACATTTAGTGATTCGTAGAGCATTGCCAAGGGTGATTTTAGGTATCTCAAATTTCTATCATGTTTTTTTTATCTCAGCTAAATCACACAAGAGGCTCAATCCTAAAGCTCGTGGTTATAATTCCCCACGTAAGACTTAGAAATGAACAATGCGGCACGTGTTACACGTTGTCACATGTTGAGTGTCAATTTCAAGCGCAACATTTCGACAAGGAGGTGAATTTCATGTTTCTAGTATATAATGTAGGAACATCTATTATTTCTGTTATCGCGGGAAGAGGCTGGCATATCATTTATTTGGCTGTTAGGTTTTTTCGAAAATTTGTATTACGTTTCCAAACTCACATAATTTAGTAGGTTTAGGATTTAATCTCACTGAAACTCATGGTTGGGGGTTGCCACTTTTAACTTAAAAACGAGCAAAACACACGTTATATGTTACCACCTATCGAGTATCAATTTCAAACGCACTATGTTAAAAAAAAGTACCTTTCAATCAATTCATATTAATTTTACATTATAGCAATGACATTTTCAATCACATTTTTATCAACAATCGTTATTCCAAGGGTTCTATATATGTATTCGCAGTCATCCCGTTCTGATCAGGAGAACAAAGGACGCGGTGGCGGAAACGATTGAAGCATTATTTGTAGTAGGAAAACAAGTCTCGTGGTTTCTCGCTTTCTACGAGATCCAGGCGGCCATGGGCCATTTGCGATTATTTAAGATCTGTTTGAATATTTTGTGGTGCTCCATAACTAGTCTGATCTGTACTGTCACGTTAGTGTGCATATTTAAAAGCCGGGGCTGGATGATGTAATGAGAATAATGACATAATAATTAGTTATCACCCTCATTGTAATAACCCTCCTTCAAGTTACTAACTCAGCAACGCTGAATATCAAAAGGGTCGACCCTTACCCTTACGAGATTCATTCACTAACGAATGCGACTTTTGGGAAACCTTGGTTAAGGTCAGCAGGTGCTTGTGTTCGACCGAGCCTGGTTGACGCCAGGATAGCGCATAAAATTGCCGTTTGATAGAGAGATGGCCACACAGCCCTGTCACGTAGTCCCAAACATGAATACGACTAGCACTTGCAATTTGCACTTACAAAAAAAATCAGGAGAGACAACAGTGGCACTCAATGTCCAGAACTGTCACTGGCACAAAAACAATTATAGGGGAAAAAATCAACAACGCGTGGAATAACGTATGTGTATATAGTATTTGCGTTTCCCGACTTATTTTAAAATTATTAGTTTTAAGACTGCCTATTCGATGGCACTGTAATGCTTTGTCAGTAGAAAACTATTCCTATGAGCTTTTCTGCGGTGTTTCAATTAATCGTCAGCAGAGAGAATATAAGCGAACTCTATGAATTAATAATACATAACCTATACCATAATTTCATTTTTATCAAGTTTTAGTTCTATATTAAGACATAATGTTACAAATGATTTCACTAGCATGATGCACACAATCTAATCACTGCAGCATATCTCTATATGTGACCCGCAATGGTAGGTCAAAGGTTGTAAAGTCTTTACACTGCATGATATTTACAAACGCACGATGCATCAGAAAATATTATAACAGTGAAATTGGTTTTACAGATCATATAAGAATTTACAGTATTCGATTAAATTCCGTGAAAAAAAATTGCAATAAATATTGCGAGTCATGAGTTCTAGCATAATCACGTTCTCCCCTACTGTTACCCTCCCAATGCGATAATGGTTGTGTTAAAACTGTGTCACGAACGAGATTTAATTCACGATTCGTGTAAAATGCGAGAAAATATAAGCTTTTCATAAGCACTTTCGGAAAATTATTATTGTACATTTTGAACATTCTGCTTGTAGCTATGGAGGATTTAAAATCTGCAGCTCCAAACCATCTGTTGAATGAATACAGTTCCTAACTACACAAAAATTCTATCTAGAGAAAATACACCACGCTTTTATGCTCCTGTTTTCCAGTGAAATATATTATGCGCTATTACAGTACTCGTGTAAATGACTTTTGGAAGTTTCATAGCAGATTGACGCTGTTCATTATATATATAGAGAGAGATGCACATTGTTCAAATTCTGAATATTGTTTTTTCTTGTTTGATCGCGGCTTCTTGTATTATTTTAATAGTTTTTCTTTTAATTGGAACGTTGTTATATGTGCATGGATCTGTCGACCTCAACTGTTGCGTTAACAATCACACACACATACACAGTACATATAGCTTAATATGTTATTACTTTTTTGATAACATGTTATGACGTTAAAGCGGGGAGGGTCGTCACCTGCGCACGCGCGGGAATTGAGTCCCAAACGATGATAACAACACGCGCTAAGAACGCAAAGGCTCATGGGTTGACGCTTGTTTGTAAACAATGGCATGCCCACCTTACGCATGCGTAGGTGACGTATTACTACAATGGTTGATATTAACGTTGGCAATTGCTAAAATAACGCTACGCATAACATTAAAGGGCGGTGGTTGTCGCTCCGTGCCCTGTTTGACATGATGGGACTCATAGCGACGTACACAACGCGTGTAAATATATTGTATGTGTACATGAAATTCGAACACGCGCTGCGCGTGACCACCGCCCTTTAACGATTGGTTATCACATTAATATATGCTACATACACCACTTAATATTTAAATGTGTTTGACCAATCTCATCGCTGGGGACAGTTGATCAACAGAATACGGGTTTCAATGTCACTATATTTATGTTTTGTCATAATGGTGTGCTCTGTTCATCAAAAAAACCATGAGGACAAAAACTTTGTTTTTAATATAACACCCTTCACAAACAAATGTAAAAGTGTTAAACTATACTTTATGTGTCACTTCATATTAAAATTAGATAGGTTAATCATTATGGACAATGTATTCATCTTTTCTAATCACAACTATACGCCGCTGATACTACTTATATAATATCTCGCGCTTCAGTTGAAGAAACATAGAAATAGAAAAAATCGATTTTAGAACAGTTCTGTAACTCTTTAAATGCACGTAGTTACCGGTGATGGGAATATATAAACTGGTATTAAATTAAATTGAAAAAAATATATATGTTGAATGCAACTACATAAAATATTATTTGATTTCGTGTAAACAAACAATGTATTTCATACGCACTGTATCCATCGCATGAGACCCGTATCAAGGATTGTGAGGGTTTAATTGTAATTCATGAACTTTTGACCCTAATTTTAGATACAGTCAATGTAATCAATATACTATTCGTATCATGGGGCGATTTTGATCTGTTCTCAGAAAACTGGTTTAAATTAAATGCGCAATACATTGCGACAGGTGTAGACAAGATTGAATTTGCATGATGTAATTCTTGAACTGAAACAGTAATTTAAAATTAATTTACTGAGAAAGCAATGATTGCGATATTACTCCTATTTGTCCTGCGTTGACGATGACCTCACATGATCTGGAAAGGGGGCTTGAAGATTCTATAATTACTATATCTATGTACCTAAATCAGTATGTCGTATTTGTGCTGGGGGTATACGATTTTCAAACGCCGGCCGCAGAAATCAAATGATTTGATTTTAAACGTGAATTCCTTTTTTTATAGTTCAATTTCGAAATACTACTCTTTCATGGCGTTAGGATACCATTAATTCATCAAAATTGACCATCAACATACCCTCAAAATAGCCCCCGAATTCTATGCGATGTTGTGACGTCATTAAAACGCCTGTGTTGCGTGTATACATGTTCTCAATGTCCCCGTAATAATGTTGAAATGAGATACGACTGTGTGTGTTTTTACACGTTAATTCGTGGGATAAATCCAATGACTGTATGTAATGTTACAACAATGTCCACACGGAGGAATACAGAATACTACGCTCAGCACTGTCTGTGTTCTGAAATAATGCCCGCTAAACATCCAACAGAGTGGCTGGCGATGTTGCATACGAGCAAAGTAATTATCTGACTGAACATCTAACTAATGGTATTCAGAGATACTGCGCCTATAGTACCATCACAGCCATATTATACAAGAGAAACAAGACGAACATTTGTAAACAATCATTTTATGTGTATTGTGTTACATGTGGTTTAATCATATAACACGTGAAAAATACCTTATTCAGAGAGGCTGTGACCAGAGTAAAATGTTCATGCACTACTGTCGATTTCCGTTCCATTTTAATGTAAACAAACAAACAAACAAACAAACAAAAGAATCATATCTAACACAGGTCGGCGCGTTTAGCGTAGTGTTGTATATGGGTTAAAATGTTACTGTATGTACGTTTTACAATCAGTCACCATTCACATATATTACTATCACAGTTCATCGAATTTATTTATAAAAATAAGCATGTGCAAATTAATATATATCTTAGTAACCTTGTGTAAATAATACTAAGAGTGCAAAGCAACGTTGCCTAACTATACAAATTGATTTCGGAAATTGCCCTTTAAATTTAAAAAAAGTTATTTAAAAATATGTGAGCGTGGTATCGGCTCACATGCCCTCAATGGATTAAATGTATAGTATGAATGCAGGTAGCATATTGCACATCCTGACCCCTTGCTCTGATCAATCTACTTTGATTGCTTTCCATATTTTCCGTGGATGTGCACCGTGGTGTACACAAAGCTTGTCACAACAAACAAGGCTGATATAAATACTCTGGCTGACTCTAAAACAGACAATAAATGCTCATTCCATTTTTCCCGGTGTGGGTGTTTACACAGTTTTCTAAGCGATGATGTTTATGGTTACCGTATAAGATTACCTGATGAGTGGAGACGTCTACATTTATACGAGATAAGGATGTAACACAAGACAGAGAATACATGGAACAATAATTTCAATGAAACCACCTTGATCTAAAAAAATGTACCTAGTTCAAACTTACCCTATTCACTCACGTGTTTGTATTTTCACAGGTTCTAATTTTTAGAGTGGTGAAAGGCGCGCCTGATTTTGATCAGTGTTTGGCTGATGGACTGTACAAAGAAGTCTGGCAGGAGCAACTTTACACGATGCTTGTTTTCCTTGTTATGTATGCGTTCCCACTCGTAATCATGATCAGTGCATACCTCGCAATATTCATACTTATTAACAAGAAATCGAATGAAAAAGGTGAGTTTTATATACAATGAATTGAACAGGTGTATCATGTCGTACTATATTGTGTGAAAAGATTGGATCGAACATGTTACGTAATTATTACCATTATTTCGATTTTGAATTAAAAAGAACCTGTCAGAAACATTGTAGACAGTTGCGATTTCTTGCACGTGATATTGGAAACTTAATGTTCCGTATTCATCAATATAGTCTACAAGCAAATATACATTATGGATATAGAATACTAATCATTAGCACCTCTGTGACAATATTAATTCCCATAACTCAGGTGTCGACGACGACCTCGCGGTAATTGACAAATTATTTTTTGAAAGGGCAACCATAGTAGATCGATTAATGTTAAATGATCGATTATATATGTATCGCGTCAAGGTCACTCATCCTTCAAGCGTGCAAATGTAACCAATAAATATCACAGCTAATTTGCATATTGATTCTAAGCAGAAAAAGATGATGAAATCGACGACACTCATTTGTTGTGTTCATTTAAAAATGTATAGTGTACAGTATGCCAAATTTAATTCAAAACCTCTTGTGGAAATTGATTATTAGTTCCCGGGTGCGATCATTTGTGTTAAATATGTTCTCGATCTGAAAACGATAGATGCATAAAACTGAGTACCTTATCGTCATCGTGTTAAACGTAGGTTGTTTAATTTGTGTACTCGTTTTCCCGTGCGTGCCTGCAAGCCGTTAAGAATTTACATATTTAACAGTTTATTTTGTAGCATTCATTTTTTGGCACAATAGAAAACTAAAAAGCAATTCTCTCCTGTTGGCACGTACACTGTTCCAGTTACCATGGTTACCACGGTATCTACGGTATCAGTGTGAACTGTGGACGCGGTGACGATAGAGAATGGAACATTATTTGAAGGCAAAATCAAGTCACGCGGCTCTCTCTCGCTCTCGGCGAGATTTCGGCGGCCATTTGAGTCTGAAGGTATAATCACCACCAGTTTGCCTGAAAACGATCATTGAGTTAGACAGCATACTACAATTGGTCTATTAGTTAGACCTGTTATGATTTACATCAATATGTATACGAGAAATAAAATATGCTTAATTATGATTAAAATTGAGATTAATTTATTTATTCCCCTCATAGATTCACATATGCTTATGCTTTTTTCGGACGTAAATTTTAGACAAATAGGTGAGGTTTATTAGCTTATATTCCGGTGGATGCAACGAAAGGTGAAACAGAGGCGACATTTGATGCATAATTGCTTTCCAATCTTTTTTTCACCAACAGATGATATAGACAAGCTTTCTCAAATTCGTCATACCAGATCCCTACTATTCCTGAAAGCCAAAGTACGGACACTGCGCATGACAATGTTAATCGTGATGACATTCATCATCAACTGGACGCCCTACTACGCCATGATCATATGGTACATGTTCTTTGACTGGGACGTTATACCACATGAGATGTTCGAGATAGCCTGGCTGTTCGGCATGTCTAACTCAGCGTTCAATCCCGTTGTCTATGGTATATCAAACCTTCGTTTCTGTGGGAAAAGAAAAACGTACAGCATACGCTCCTATAACTTTGAAAAAAAATGTTCGTCTTCACCCGCCTACACTAGCTCGAGCAACAAATGTACGAAAACGCCGTCATCTGTATTGGCAACAACTCGCCGAATGTCGTACATGCATGCACAGAAGGTGAATTATTTTTCCCGGGACAGAAACTAAATGAATATCGAACAATTCAAGATCTTTATATTATATATTGAATACTTTATATATTGAAACACTTTCTTTCAGACCCAGATAGGCTTGTTAACAGCATAAGATTATGTGCTGTACGTTCCTACAACTAACAGTAACATCACTGATCTTTCGAATCTCGACAAGCAAAGTGTATCAACATGTGGTGCGTCAATCGTTCGTTTTAACGTAGTGAGTCAGGCTTATTTCGGAATTAATTTACCACACTCGCCACTCAGGCATATTGTAAATAGACAGGCTGACAGGGTTCGAGGAACTCGTGACACTGACTGACGAGTGAGCGCTCAGCCATTTAAGTGTTTAAAAGCCAGTGCATTGTAAGAGGGGTTTACAAAGGCCTTTCTCAGCATTGTGTGAGTTTAGAATGATTTTATAGATAACCACAGTGGACCAGTAAACACGCCAAGACGAATGATAAACTCAACTATCAAGTGTGCTATGCGGTATGCTACATGATCAGATAAACGAAATAAAACTTTATATATTCTCTTTATTTATATCGAGATACTAAGTCAAACAAGATGCCGTGTGCATACAGGTATTATGTATTCGAATTTTACCATGTTGGATTCCGGCGTTTCCGTGTGTATGGAATCTGCACCGTAATAATTAAATTACAAAAGCGATATTGATACAACAGCGTCGAATTGTGCAATTGATGATAACACATTAGTTACAAAATGTCCGTACTGGGCCGTAAGAGTTTCGTTTTTCAAAGCTAGGTGAAATATAATTGCTGTTTTCGCAACGGATTCACTAGTTTTGTGCTAATTGATTCTATTTCAGGGGTAGGGGGACTTTGAATGTTCGACTTCCGCACTAGTTAATATATTGACGATTCCTTATTAGCCAGAGGCACGTGGCATGGATGTTTTACAAGGGATTGAACATAATACAAGCTAGAGCGGAAATTGCCTCGTGGTTTTTCATCTTGCATTTATATTGACTGATTTACTAATGGGTAAACTGTTGCATTTCGGATTTCTTCTCGAGATGTTAATTTTATGGTTGGCTGTATTGATGTATTACACATTTTTTTTGTAACGTGCTATCAAGAACCAAGTTTATTTATTTCTATGCGATGTTTCTTGGTTTTCAATGATCAGGTGAAAGTTACGTATGCTAGTATTCCAGCATACGTGTTTCAACAACAGATGTTAACAGTACGGAGAGTTTCCCTTTGTCTTTAATTATTCGGAGATAGAAACAATGTGTAGTCTGAAACAATCATATTTGTGTATCGGTGTAGATGTGTGTATGTGTACCCGATGTGATGGTTTGACGTGTCCCATTCAAGACAACATTTTGTTGTTCAAGTGCCTATCACTTACAGTTTCGGTATTATATAGTAAATGATTGTTAATGTTTTTAAATTTAGTCATATTGCCGTTTTTTGTGACCAGCTCGGGGAGTGATTGAACACTGCTCGGGGTTATTACTTTTATGTTTTCAATTGTGCTAAAGACGTTTACATTTACAAACGATTTTTTTCCGTACGCTTGGCCATGTGACATTGGAATATTTTGAGAAATAAAAATAAGTAACTGCATGAAAATGTGTCTATGGTGTATTGTGTATTGGGTGTGGCCCTGAAACAAATAGGCACTAACAGTGATGTGTGACGTCAATATTTAATGCAGTGCTCCACTCGTTATACGTTACTCCACCAACGCCTAGATACGACGCTAGTAATATCTCATTGTATAGCCTAAAATTCATGCAATGTTCCACTCGTTATGCGTCGCCCCATCAACGCCTAGCAACAACGCCAGTAATGCGATCATCTGTTTTGATTGACAATGTTGACAATGTTGAATGACCATGACGCATTGTTGGTATTTGGATGATAACAGGAGATTCACACCCGCAACACTTAAACCAGTCATTGAAGGCATCAGAGAGCATAGATATGTGTAATATTGTATTTCTCTTTACCTTTATGGCATGTGCTAGTGTGACGTCCGCATAAACCTGAATTGGTGATGATTATAGAGCAACGGAATCATCTGTTTTCATAATAGTAGATTCATTGTTGTAAGATATTATATTTATAGATAACTTTATTCCATTCAATTACTTTGAGTAAAAATGTATAACAGAGGAAGGTGATGGGGAAAACGTGCTTCAAGGATACGGTAGCAAAAGGTTATGACCAAAAGATATCCCATAATATCCCCAGTAACAAATAAGGGGACTCTTATTCGCTCCTTGGTGTTACCAATTACCATCATAACATGTGCAGCGCCTCGGAAATTACTTGGTTTTAAGATTAGTATTAAAGTAGGAAAATTATTTCTTCGCTGCTTCATCCATCAAATCTTGTTGTCCACGTTGTTTCACGCAAATGTGAGGTGGAATGGTGAAATGGAAATTGTTGAAGTTTGAAGATGTTATTACAATTTGTGCATAGCATCATATAAACCTGGACTAGAGAGAGTCGGTGTGGAGCTGCTCATAAGATTGTGCCTGATTGGCTACCCGACCCTATAACAGTCCGACCAATCAGAGAGCAGCTTGTTTTGTCAATATTTGTCAGTCATTTATTTTGTGTTTTTGAACGTTTGTTGAAAGACCTATGGTTGGGTATGTTATTTCCACTTTGTTGACAGGTATTTTGACGAATCTAAGTCTTGCAGAATAGAATTTAATCGGTGCCATGGTTGTTGCATATCTAGTGTGATCATCCTCTATTTTAATAGCTGCACATGTTTCTGTAGCTCTCATACTGATGCCGGTACACAAACGGTTGACTCTCGCCAAAGACACACAGCCTCCTGTGGCACGTGAATTGGATGTATTTGCGAGAGTATATGAATCTGTTCAACGGAGGGGTTAGCAGAACGGTGTCAAAAGATTAGAATAACAAGGCGATTCAGAAGAACAAGTCAGAAATCAGGATTCCAGAAATGCCTTCTGCATAGGTTTGTTTTTCTATGAGTCAATGCTAAATTATAAGTTTGATTTCCACCGCTTTATAAATCGTAATAATATAGGTTAGATATGGTCTATCTATAGAATTCTCGTGTCTATGTCCAGAAAGTGCCGCTCTCGTAAGATTTAAATTTTCTTGAATGTAAAGACAAAGGGACCTGCACGTCTCTATATTGACTGCCAAGTAAACAAGGAAACGTGCTAGCTCCGAGTGTGGCCCTCATAGTCTGGGAG